TTCATTCCTCTCTGGCAGTAATACAGACTAGTTATCGTTAACCATGAAACTGCATCTTAACAGTATATTTAAATGCAACATCTAATTGTGGCAAACACTCTGAGAAATCATTTTTAGATTAAAAGCCATAAAAAACATAGAAAACAGATTTTAAAGAAATTCCAATTACAATTGTTTTCAGTGTTGACCAATTAAATCCATTTGCAATAAAAATATAGGCTAATGTAAAGAGCAGCCTATTAAGCTGAGCAACAGAGTACATCATACAGCCCAAGTTATGCTTCTTTGGATGGTCACATTTTAAACTAATCTCGTTACAGTTTGTCAATGAAATGGTTACCAGATGTCTAAAACATATCACACTGAATTTGGATGGCTACTGCAATGTAATTAACATCCAAAACCAGTATTGATTTTTAGTTATTAGAAGCACCTTGAGTATGCCAGCGTCCAGGTATCAAACATCTAAAGTGCATATTTTGATCATAAAATGTATATCCTGCTAATTGAACAAAAGCAGCAATATGTGCAGCTAGGAAGTGGTAGTAAGTATTAAGGATGGTCTTTTATTAAGCCAACCCTTCCTTTTATTTAGAGGAGGATTAAGAAAAAAACCCACACTACTGCTGTAACTCCAGTTGTGGGGACTTTTAGCTTGTTTTTTAACTTAGCATTTATTCAACACAAGAAATCTGCATTTTTCAAGAAGGCTGTAAAAAATTGGTGTTTTAGCACATCAGACTCTAGCAGCAGGTGTGTTTTTTGAGAAACTTGTAGCTATTTTGTAGCTTTATTATAAACCCTGGCCCCAAATACATCTATTATTATTTTGACAGATAAGTTAATTTCAAGGACTTAATATGTATTCTCACATTTTCATATTTAATTTTCTATGCACTGACATAAAAAACCTCACAACAGACTTTTTCAGAAAAAAAATAATTTTTTGTCCTCTTCCATTTTTAAAAGCCATCTTAGCTGATTCAACTCGGGATTCAAATAAGCATCTTAGTGCAGAAATGAATCTACTGTTTTGACAAGCTACATACTTACAGTTTATGCACAAGTTAGGAAAATGTGTAATGGCAAGATTTTTACAAATTAGTATAAGCTGTCTAGGTATTAGTCTACAAATGACAAAAATCTGTGAATTATGTGCTATTAGACATAAATATTACATGGATTTTATAATTTACAACAAAAATTATTTGTTTTCAACTTAAATTTTACTGCCTGCAGCAATAGCTTACAGCTTTAGGTAGTTTGTATGTTTGGCACATGAAAATGCAACTGATAAATTTGATACTGATTTCTGGGCAAAATTCTTAGAGGATACCACAGAAAATACTAACTAACTGTGAGGATTTACAACAGAACACCATGATGAGCAGACAGATCTTAAAAACAAATTGCAAAGACCCGAACTTAGTATCACAGATAATATAGAAATTCTATAAATCAACCATAACCTGAAAGATGATCTTTCTCAGAACAAGTTCTAGCATATTCCAAAAGAAAATGCATGTAACCACCTCAAGATGTATTCATCCTTTCTAGGCCACCCCGTCACTACAGTTTCATCCAGTAATAATACTGTTTGTGGGATTGTGCTATAAACCAATGAAGCAATTGCAAAAAAGACACACGCACACAGAGAAACGCAATTCAGGTGACTGCAGTGATCTGTATTACAACTCTCTATAGAGCTGCCCCGTATCCATACAACTGAAGCTGTAGCTCACTGCAGCACCAAATTATCTGCTCTGGGATGGGGGACTAAACCCGCTTACACAGGGGAAAAAATTATACCACAAAATTGCAGCCTTCAGTCATGACACGTGCTTGTACCTACACCAATACATCATTCAATCACCATCGCCTAGGATGGCTCCCTAGATTTTGCCCTTCTGCTGACAACCATTAACCTGGTAATAAAGCACCCAAAACACAATGAAAGCTTTTTTAAACCCCAACCTCATCACCTAGTCAACTGTTTTACTTGCTCTAATAAAAGACTAGCAAGGCTTTGAGCCTCTTATAATACAGGGAACCATTATCATTGCAAACGTATAACTGTCTTTGTATCTTTAATTGTACACAAGGAGGATTTTTAAATGCACGTACTTTTAACTGTGTTCATGTTGAAAAAAAACAAACAATAAAGATTACATCAAGACATCATAGAATAATTGGCCCGCCACAGCCATGCTAAGTCTAAAGCTGTTATTAAAAAACTTAGTTTCTTACAACCATAAGATTTTGATTACACTTTTGTTATTATTTGAATGCTCCACGGAAATGTTATTCCAATTTATAACTTTTGATACCAATACTAAGTAACATACCTACTCATACAATTACAGGATATTTTTTTATTGTAACATGCCCCAATTTTTTTATTGTAACATGACATGGTATAAAAGAACTGCTAGGAACTCCACTGTTTTTGCAGGGGGACAACCAAGCTATTTCTGAAGTACAAGAACAATAAAAAGATGCTTTTCAGCATCTCATCATTTATCCAGCAGTAAAAATGAAAAGCCTGCTCATTCATTTGTTGAAAGCAAAAACAAACCCAAAGCAAAAATGTTATAGAAGAATGCAAAGATAAAGTGACACCATGAGAGTTCTCCTGCAAGTTGAACTCCAATGTGCATATGTTGGGGATATTCTGGACTAGTAAAGGAGATGACATTTACTTCATCAGCATCTTCCCACCCCTACTCATACAGCATTCACAAAGAAATGACAGAAGTTAAGTTCATGAAGCCCATTTGTTTAATGTCCTCCTTTCCCAGATAGAGCTGAAAGATATTTTTGAAATACTTTGTAACATGACTCATTTAATGTGGTGGCAAAGATCTACTACAGATTGCTCTGGTAAAGGTGTTGGCAAAGCCTTGAGTGCTGAAAAAGCCTATACAACAACGTGGTGTGGCCTAGGTAGTGTGTTACAAAATTCTTACTGAATCCTTCTACAGAGGCTAGAGAGTCCTACCATAACCCTAGTTCCTCTCTGTATACAAGTTTTGGGGTGGCTATTTCTTGGTTATTCACTGTTTAAGTCCAGCTCAGAAACAGTCAGGGCAGCCAAACCCTGCCTACAAAGCCACCTAAACATCCTTCCTCACCTACAGTTTATAAACACTTGACAAGCAGTTCTTTCAGCAGGGACGCCAGCTTACAATGCCCTTATGCCATGACTACTGCTTCAGTTTTCACAGCACAACTGTCCGAGATGAGGCAGTTACTTAACCTAAGTGAGCTGCTCGTGCCCGTTCTCGGTGAGGCCCCACAGGCAAAGGTGAAGAGGCAGGCAGGACAAGTAAGCACGGCTGCCTAACCTCCCACTGATAAGCGCTTCTTCCAGCACAAAGATACAGGCACAGAAAGCAGCGCCGTAGTTCTGTTTGAGCATCAGAAGGACTGTACCAATTACATGGTGAATATTCCTTTTTTCAGACCTGTGGGAAATGTAGGCAACTTCAACACAAGGACGGCTACCAGCCCAGGGCTGGAACACCCTCCTCTGTTCCCTTACTTGTCCCATCATTGCAAACACATTAATGATCTCCTAACATGTTGAGACTGCTTTTTCTTGAACCATAAGGCTTTCCACCTCTCCAATTTCACGACAACATTTTTGCATTTCTTTGTGATTATTAAGTGGTG